CCCCCCCCCACCCCCCAAAAAGGAAAATATTTTCCACACAATAATAAACAGATATAAAGTTCCTAAACAATCCAAAAGGGAAGTGTCTACAATGCAACAAGACAGTGAGGCAGCATTAAAGAGGGACTCCTGGAACCTTGCAGTGGGTAGTTACAGATATATATATTTGTATATTATACATGGCTGCTATATCGGATCCCACAGCCTCTTTTCCCTCGGGTTTTGGTGGTTTAAGCACTACGGACATCATCATGTCTAATGCAGGTCCTGCATTAGACTCAAGGACGTAGAGAAACAATCCACATCCAGAGTGGAGGGAGAGAGGTGAACGCTCACCGCCGAAGGACCGAGGATCAGACTACTATCCTCTGGAAACCTGAGGAAGCTGGTTGTGAGGCGAGGAGATGGGAGGAGCCAGTGGCGCTTACGTAAGGGGAGGAGAGTGCTTGAGTGATCATCATACTTATCCTCTGACCCTCACTAATATATGTGCGTGTGCCCGGATCAGAACCTGCACTGGGTTACGGCTTGCTGATAGTGGCTACACTGGCCTCCGAGGCTGGTGTTTCAACTCTGCCAGCCATAACACAGTGCAGGCCTTCCCTCTGCTTTAGACATTGGTTGCTAGGACTGCTGGCTTCCTAGCAACCAATGAGGTTAAGCATGCATGGCCTGTACAGCCACCCAGATCAATTGTACTAGACCGCTATTCTGCCGACCCCCCCGCCGTGGTTTTCAGCTCTTCATGCTTCAGCTGTCAGAAGCCAGCTGAAGTGCCAGGTATACAGACTCAAGCACATTCCTGTGCTTGAAGATCTGTATTGGAGGCAGGAAAGACCCCTGATGTCTCCAGAAAGAGAACCTGTCACCTCCAAATTCTGTCAGATGGTGGCTTGTTAGCCTCTTCGTGATAGCAATAGTTAAGTGGAAAAAAAAATGACAAGAAGTACGGACATGGGCTGAGTGACTGTTCTGTCCAGACTGTGATTCAGACCTCTGCTCAAAGAAAATGTTATTTACTGAACCACCTTATATTTAATGACCTAGACAAAAACAAGCACTTAACCCTTGCAGTGCAGAGGTAGCCCCACTGCAAGGATTACGAACAAGTTTGCCTGGAGTTTCTTTAAATACTTGATTTTTTTGGTAAGCCAACAATAGCTTTGATCCTTGAAGGATGGGGGTGTGCCACCTGAAATTAAGAGCTCTGACTGGAAAAGCCATAAAACTGGGAGGTAATATTTTGATCTTTCAATACACTAAGTTTGAGGACTACAGTTCATTAAAAGGAGAACTATGGGGTTAGGGCTTTTCCCAATAGTCCTCCTAAGGGTAACGGGAGGACACAAACTAGCCTCCTCCCGTCACCCTAAGCTCAGTATACCGCGAGCTACAGCTCGCGGTATACCGAGACGCCACAGCCGGAGCGGATCCCGACAATTCTGTCTGGATCCACCCCGCTGGATATAGAGGCCGAGCCAGCTTCACCCACCCCTTCCCCCATCCGTTACGCCAGTCAGAGCTGGAGGATCGGACAGCGAACGTGGGAAATCCCTGCAGGGCGTTGTGAGTGACAGTCATGGCTCTCTGCACGGATAGAAAGAGAAGTGAGCGAGCGCCGGTATGTGTTCGCTCACTTCCCGATCTACTGAGTCGACCTGTGAGTTTCATTGTCACAGGTCAGCTCAGATTATGAGGCTGAGTGAAAATCACTCGCCTCATAATTCTCCTTTAACCACTTCCCGGCCGGCCGTAGTAAAAAAAACGGCCGACCAGGAGCTCTCTAGATCTGAGCGGGCGTCTTTAGACGTCTGCTCAGCCACGCCCCCTCGCACGTGCCGCTGGGCACGCGCGAGCGGGAAATG